CAGCAGGGGGGGGGGGTGAGTACACACGCACACTCACACACCCCTCTGCGCGCGTGCGCACACACAGAATCTGGCCCAGCAGGGAGTGCGCAAACACTCGCACACGCACACACGCACATACACACACAACTCACCACACGCACACGCGGAGCCTGGCCCAGCAGGGAGTGCGCACACACACACACGGGCCTGGCCCAGCAGGGATGTGCACACCCACCCCCGTGCACACTCTAACACACACACACACACACACGCACACGCACACACGGAGCCTAGCCCAGCAGGGATGTGCACACCCACCCCCGTGCACACTCTAACACACACACACACACACACGCACACGCACACACGGAGCCTAGCCCAGCAGGGATGTGCACACCCACCCCCGTGCACACTCTAACACACACACACACACACACGCACACGCACACACGGAGCCTAGCCCAGCAGGGATGTGCACACCCACCCCCGTGCACACTCTAACACACACACACACACACACGCACACGCACACACGGAGCCTAGCCCAGCAGGGATGTGCACACCCACCCCCGTGCACACTCTAACACACACACACACACACACGCACACGCACACACGGAGCCTAGCCCAGCAGGGATGTGCACACCCACCCCCGTGCACACTCTAACACACACACACACACACACGCACACGCACACACGGAGCCTAGCCCAGCAGGGATGTGCACACCCACCCCCGTGCACACTCTAACACACACACACACACACACGCACACGCACACACGGAGCCTAGCCCAGCAGGGATGTGCACACCCACCCCCGTGCACACTCTAACACACACACACACACACACGCACACGCACACACGGAGCCTAGCCCAGCAGGGATGTGCACACCCACCCCCGTGCACACTCTAACACACACACACACACACACGCACACGCACACACGGAGCCTAGCCCAGCAGGGATGTGCACACCCACCCCCGTGCACACTCTAACACACACACACACACACACGCACACGCACACACGGAGCCTAGCCCAGCAGGGATGTGCACACCCACCCCCGTGCACGCTCCTGTGGGGGCACAAGAGGTAGTTTGCTGATGCATTGCGATACGGGCTCCCGCAGGGAGAGTGGGGTGCACCCCTCGGGGGCGGGGGCGATATTGGGGTGCAGGGAGTGGCCTGTGGCCATGCGGGGGTTGCTCGGGGAGTGATTGTCCAATAACCCCCATCCTGGGGGAGCTGGGGTGGCCCAGGGAGCTTCTGGGCTCCTGGGGCTGCCTTTTGGGGGGCAGCACTGGTGGGGGAGCCCAGCCAGCCCCGTGTCCCAGGGAGAACCCCCCCAAGAACATTTATCCTAGAAGGGGCTGCCTTTTGGGGGGCAGCACTGGTGGGGGAGCCCAGCCAGCCCCGTGTCCCAGGGAGAACCCCCCCAAGAACATTTATCCTAGAAATTGCTCCCTGCGGGGGGGGGGACCTGCAGAGTCACCCCCAAAACGTCCACCAGGCTCCCTTGCTGGCCGGAGGGGGGAGGACGCCCCAGCCTCTCCGCAGGGGGGGAGGCCC